TTGGACTGTTGATATTATGGACTCTTTTTTTTTAGCTTTTTAATGATAGGAAAAATTAATAAGCATCTGAAAAGCTGCTTAACTCAGAAAAGATAAAAAGGATTCCCTCAATTATAAAGTTGGAGCTGCAATAACCCTTGTACAGTCATTGGCTTCCATGTTACTTTAATGAGAAAGGAGACCGCGTTCAGTCTGAAATGTGATAAAAATAATTCTCTGTTTGTAATATGACCAGAGCTTTAAAAATCTAGGTCATGGAAGACTTGTCATGTTAAAACCACCTTAGATTTTTGTTGCCTATTCTATTAGTATTGCTATTTTAGTTGAAAAGTTAATCAGGCAGAGATTCTATCTTCAATGCTTCACTGTAAGCTAGAACATTTAGCTTTAAAAAATAGTTTTTCAAAGTGTTAGTCTGATACTTTCTTTGTCCATAAAGAGATTATCACAAGTCACCAGAGTCCTCTTTGAACTAAATGAGAATGAACCCTACAAATCAGTGCATACCAAGTCTTCTATTTCCCATCACCTGGGCTATAGAGATTTTCCTAATTGCCCATCAAAAGTTTAATAAATAATGTAGGACTGTGTCATAAATCTTTACTTTATCTTTCAAGGGTCCGTAAAGTGTCCTGAAATTTATGAGTGACATTGCTTATTATGAAAAATATGTTCATGAGGGAAAAATGCAGTGGGAAATAAGAATAATGAGAAACTTAGTTCTGAAATCTAACTCATATTGTGAGGAGAAATTTCTGTTGCTGCATTTATAAAATCTGGAAAAACTAACCAATTTTATGTCAATGTGGTTAACTTTTTAATTTGACATCAGAGTGAGACCCAGTAAGACTAGAGCATAGTTCACATACCTACTGTGACAGATCTTTGAACCAATGGGCTTTTGTGTGCTCATTTTGGAAGTTTTTAGTTGTTTTGTTTTTACTATAGTAAAATATATTTAACATAAAATCTTTCATTTTATCCATTTTAAAGTGTACAGCTCAGCGTGATTAAGTACATTCACATTGCACAATCCTCAGCACTGATCGCTGACTGTGTTTATTGTAACAAACATTCACCTTATGAAGAAGAAAGATTTACTCAGCCTCATGATTTGGAGGCTTCAGTTTGTGATGGTTTGGCTCAATTGCTTTTAGACCCAGGGTGAGGACACACGTCCTGGCAGGAGCTTGTAGTGGAGCAAAACCTTTCATTTCCCGTCTAGGAAATGAGATGAAGGGGCCAGGGCTATACAGTACCCTGGGCAATTGGAAGACCTCCCACTAGTGCCACTGCTTAACCCCCACCCCCACCTCTCAGTAGTACACGCTTACTACTACTTGCTAAGCCTTACTTTAGCATGTGGGTTTTAGGAGAACATTTAAGATCCAAACGATACACCATCCAGCGCCAGAACTGTTTATTTGGCCCCAAACTGAACTCAATACCATTAAAGACAGTAAATCTGTGTTGCTCCCTCCACTTTCATTTTTAAAGTATGAGCATTGTGGCTTACACTACTGTAAGAGCACACAGTAACCAGCACAGGGGAGGCATGAAACACATGCATCTCTGATACTTGATGGTGCCCATGGAGGCAATAGTATGTTCTCAAGTAATATGACACTGCTAGAAGATAATGCGTGACCGGTTGGATACTTACATGCATGGACCAAATCAAAGAACCTGCAATTTTAAGACTGAGTTATCAGCCGGGGATTTAGCTAAGTGGCATAAGTGCCTGCCTTGCAAGTATGTGGTCATGAGTTTGATCCCTGGTACAAAAAAAAAATAAAAGACTGAATTATCTTGGACCAGGGATATACCTCAGCTACCTGGTCCTGAGTTTGATTCCTAGTACAAAAGAAAAAAAAGATTGAATTGTCTCAAAGACGCAGAGGCCAATCATTTTATGAGAAGACTTGAAAATTATTTCTGTGGGTAACAGGTTTTGACCATCCATAAACTGTCACAGTGGCCGTGGCCTTTTTGGTCCTTAGCTAAAACATGTTTAAATTCAGGAATCTCAGAATTGTGATCTCCATGTGAAACAGTGCCACTCTGGAAATAGGCACATTGAAGTGATGAGTGCTAAGATGCCGTGATCAGTTAAGAATGGTTCCCTGTTTCCAACCAGATATCTCCAAGCACTGCATATATCAGACCTCTCTGTTCATAGTACTAGAAATAACTGCTTTGGTAGCAACTACTTTTTATCTCATGCTACTGTGAAGTATATAACTGATCATATTTCCTTCATTGCCTTTGAAGTGACAAAGTACTATGTTGATTTCCCTCTAGTAAATGTAGACCCTTAATGGCATCATTTACTGCCTCATGCCCAGTGTTACTTTATGTCCCCTTGTCCCACTGCCTGACTGATTTTCGTTGTGTACAGTCAGCGTCATGACTGACAGCGTCATTCCGCCTGTGCTTACTTAGTCTTACCCTCTGTCTTACTGTGTGCCTCACTCTTCCATGTGGTGGATCGTGCTGGTCCCTCTCCTGGGGCAGTTTGCGTGTTGCAGCTTTGTCCTCCTGGCCCTCGTACTCCTCCTCAGCTCAGTCAGCAGCCAAACCCTTTGCCAGTAGGGTCTGCTCTATAAAATTGAGCCTCCCTTGTGGCCAGCATACCCAGTCAGACTTCTGTTAGTGCACCTAGAAAGCCCCAGGCAGTCTACATCTGCTGGATCATGTGCATCCTGCCTGCTTTGCATGTAATACACGGAAGAGGGGAACAGGCTGAGGAAGCGGTGTCATTTGTAGTAAATGAGTCCAAATTAGAATTTAAAGATGGACACTGGCAACTAATGATCTTTTCCTGTCCAGTCCGGATGGAGGAGGGTATTGGAGAAAGGCTTTAGGAGCGAGCAGAGAGGAGTAGGCTGGAGGGAGAGGGAGAGGTAGAGGAACAGGGAGTGGGAAAGGGATGGACAAGAGAGGAGTCACAGGGAAGGGGCCAGTTCTGCTTGCCACAGAGGACAGTGCTAGCCAGTGTTGTCACCGGGCGGTGAGCACAGCAGCCCCATGCCCTGTGTTCCTAAAGTGGCCAACACAGAGAAAGGTGTGAGTAGGCATTCACTGCACTGACATCGTGCTTCAGGAAAAGTGTCCCTGCTTTGTAGCAGCTCAGTGCCTTTGTGGTGTTTACAGCACATCTGCTTTTTGTTTTAAAAAAAATCTCCATTAAGTGTAAAGTCCCTACTTTGTGATTTGTGTCTCTTAAATTGAAAACATAATATCCTGTACATACTAATATTTCTTACATTTTTTTTTTTACTCTTTTGATTCTTTTGACATCTAAATTATAAACTAAGCATGCATTTTAGGTAATACTAACTGGTACAGAGTTGTTGTGATTTTAAATTCATTTTTTTTTCATGTGAAACAGATTTTAAAATACATGTGACCCCTGTCACTGTGATTCAGATTTTGCCTCTGGGCTCAGACGGCCACCCACATCTCCTGAGCACCCTTATCATGCTTTCACGTTTACTCTTGGCTGCCCTTTGACACCCCTCTGCCACGTCCACAAGACAGACCACGCCCCTCTGCCTTGTGTGCCCAGTGATGTGTCCAGCCACGTGGAGTGGACAGCACAAGATCTTGTCACACTACTCAGAATGCATGCAAAGTAAAGCTTACAGATTGTTGTTTTCTGAGATTTTTATTTAATGTTTTTGGACTGTGGTTGACTATTGGGAAAACAAAGCCCTTGATAAAGGGGCTACTGTATGTTGCTTTATTTTGAGATGTGTGATGGAACAAAGCTGTGACTGTAGAAATTCCATTAAATTTATATTTGTAGGAAATAAGAAAAGCCTTCTCACCACTGAAAGTCTGTCTGCAAGTAGTCTGCATCCTTTAAAGGGCCCAGCATTATGTGTTCAGGGTGAACTGTTCTGTCAATCCTGCGGCCATGTGGCCACCACTGTGGACCCAGCTGTTCTTTTCAACCAGCAATATGTGACAGCAGGAAAGCCCTAAGTTGTTTTGTTTCCTTAAAGTTCAGCCATGGTACATGCTTGGCAGATGGTGTATGAATGTCTTTAAGGAAGGTTGCTTGAACGTGGGTCCAGCTCTTACAGAGTCTAGGATAGGTACAGTGGGAGGGTATAGGTTTTCTTGAATTTCCAGTTTTAGTAAAGATGAAGATGTCATTTAATGGAGATCCAGTGACTGTTGTTTTGCGCTGCAATATAGTGTTAAACAAGGAGTCGGAACCTGGCTCAGATTCTGGCTCTCACACTTAGAAACCATGAGGCCGGTACTACATTTGTTGATGACTCTATTGTCTTGCTTCACAGTCACTAAAGCATCCTTAAGATGTTCAAAGAATGATGTGAAAGTGCTTGAAAACTATTGTGGATTGTGCAAAATTAGTCATAATTCCCCAACTGGCAGATGGCTCAAATCTAAATACTTAGCCAGCTGGGAACATGGCATTTCAATCCTAAGAATGTCTTCCTGGTAATTAATATATGAACACTTTGAGCTTTAACTCTTAAGGACTTAAATAATATATGGAAAAATTATTCTTAAATGTATTTTAAAATTTACTTTTGTGTGTATGGTATTTGATGTGGTTTAAAGATCTCACAAATATAACTGCTACAGCTTTCTACTTATGCTTTTAAAATTTGATTGTTTCCCTTTATGCCTAAGATGCTTTGAAAGGGAAAATAATAGACATTTGGGGGTAGGGGAACCACTAAATATAATTTCTTAAAGAAGTGGGTAATCTTTGGAAATCTCTTTCAGTATATAAAGTTGGTTTAATTGTAGGTTTATGTAAGCATACATCTGTTTCATAAATCCATTTGAGCCTTCCTGGGTGCAGGTTTTCTCAAATCCCTGAGGAGGTGTTTAACAGATGAATCGCTGAAGGACAAAGTGGGGCTGCTTAAGTTTCAAAGCCTGATGCACTGGGGGAGATGCCCATTGTTAGGGGAGCCCGCGCTGAAGCTCAGTTCACTCACGATGAACCTGCTCTATCCCAGATTCCGAGTCGGAGAAGTCCCTGAGTCAACTGGAAGCAGTGACAGCACAGTCCCTTGAAGAGGAAGAAGAGCACGGGAGCAGTAGGAAACACAGAATGTCCGAAGGGAAGGATTGTGGTGGGGGAGACGCTCTCTCCAATGGCATCAAAAAGCACCGGTAGGTTGGCCTTGTAACAGCTGTTGTCACTGTCTCACTGCTCGGAAAATTTAGGTTCACACAGAGTTGTGTGCCTTCTGTCTGTGTTTGGTACTTGTGTTGCTGTGTCCCTAAGAAGGGCTGCAACTGGGGAACTTGCTCCTTTGTCCATTTACGGGGACTTCCATCTGTTAGCGTAGGAACAGAGCAGCCAGTTTGGTGTAGCACCCGTGTCTTCAGGGGAACACACACATCCTTCCGCGGCACCTGAGAAAGGTTGTTGAGAACTCTCCATTGAAATTGATACTCTGCTCCCTTTTTCCTCATACATCTTTTATGACTCGGCCTCCAGTGGTGTTTTAGTTCCTATGCATTTGATCTTTCTGGTTTTATTAAGAATGAATGGTAATATTGCCAGCCCAGTGACGTAATTAGTTAATTTAAACAAAGGCTGTTATGGGGACCCAGGGTTTTGCCAAACACATGCCTTTCATCCAGTCTAATAACATCAGTGTGTTTCTGTTTTCTTGGTGGCTGAGTGCTAGAGACTGTCTCAGTGAAAGCAGTGTAACACACACCACAGTCTCCGGTTTCAGCACAAGTTTACAGATGCAGGGTACATGTGCATGTTGGCATTTACATAGTGAGATACTTTTTAACATCAGAGGGTAGGGCATGTCAATGATGAATTTCTACAAAATAGTCGTTTGTTTGGTTTGTATTTTTAGATTGTACAACACCATGATTCTGACCACAACTGGTCTCAAATGTTATTCTGGGAAAAATACTTACATCACTTCGCTGATTTATTTCTGCTTTTCCTTTGCTAACAAAAATGTCTTGGTTTGTATTTATTTTTAGAAGATCAATGAGTTTAGGAACCTACTGGATAAACAGTATTCTCGTGTTGGACTCAAAGTTGTCATAACTTGTTAATAATCTGTCATACCTTTAATAGAGTTTACTGTTGCAAATGACGTGGCGAGCAGTATCTTCCCTCAGTCCCCCTGCAGTGCCAGCCTGTCAGTTCCTTTGCCTTCTGAGACTAAACAGTAAGCCCAGCAAGTTTGCCACTTTCTAAAGAAAATACTGCGTTGAGCAGTTAACACATACATCATCCAATGAGAATGCGGGTAAATCTTCGGAAAGCTCATAGATGCATACAAATGTTGGATTATTAAATGATCAGCATGAGTACTATGTTTAGAACCAACAGCCATCTTGCGCTGTGGTTGAAGGAATTTCTCTACACCCTTTTCAGAACCAGAAGACCTTTTCGTAGGGGTGCTATAATAATGGCAGTAGTTATTTTGTGTTTGATGTAATTATATCCTATGCAGGTATTCTGTGTTCCGTTTTAGTCACACCCAGAATGGTACAGATGTGAAACTTGCAGTTGTTCAAAAACATGAAGTCAGGACAAAGCCACTAAAGAAGAACACAAAAGAAATTAGGCAGCGACCTCACCAGAAAAGTTAAACTGATTACAAAAAAATGATGAAACTTATTAAATCTATAAAATGTAATGCTACAGTCCTCAGTCATTCATGTAAAAATTGGGGCACTTGGAAAATTGTGACTAGCCTACTAGGCAGGAAAACTTAACTTTGTCTTTTTTAAAAGCAGCCTTTTTCCCCATAAAATTCCTCTATAGAATATATGACATGCATAATTAAGAGTTTTAGCTTTAGCATAGGAAAAATGTTGAAGTATTCAGTGATGGCAAATTTCTGTTGCCTTTTCCCCAAATAGCTTCATAGGAAATCTGTATTTATAGTGGATACTACCATATTAATACTAAGAATAGTTTCTATTGATAGTAATTATGATGTTTTAGAAAAGCAGAGATATGTTGCTAGGTTAGATATAGGTATTGCTTAGATCCAAAGTAATAATAAAATCTGTTTGAAATTCATGTGAAATTTGTCTTTACCCTTGTCATAGAGTTTTGTTGCTCTAATACTGAAAGCTTATTTACTTAACACTTAGTGGTGTCATAAAAGTCTTGTGTTTGCCTCTCACCCGTGACCATCCCACCAGTTAGCCCCTGGTAAATACACTAAAATTTAGGAAATAGAGACGTGAAAATCCACACGGATTTTTAAAAAGAAGAGTACATATTTTTAAATTGGAAAAGGGAAACCTTTGCAATTATAGTGCCATCTTCACTAATACAAGGGTTTTCAACCATTCTTTTTAAGCCACAAAACCATTTGTGCAACAGAAATTCAATGTGAAAACTACTACAGTCTTACAACCTTCATTTTGACTGTGGTTTCCCCAGAACATGCAGCAAGTTGCTTTGTGGAAAATGAGCCCACACAATGCCATAGTAACATCTATATTTACATGGCTTATTGCCGTCCTGGCCATGTGCCATACGAACAATTATCTATACTTGGACTTGATTTATTGAATTTATTCTGAGAGCTCTAATAGTCTAACTTGTTAGCACTTTTGCCCAAATTGTCTCTTTGGTAAAGATATTTGAATTTTGGGTACAATGTAAGAGATACTAATAGTAAATTAGAATCTGGAGAGGTTAAACTCATGTTACAATTCTTTAAGTGTCATTCATTGTACTAGTTGCATTAATCAGCTAAAGGAGAAAACTATGTTACCACTTCTAATAAATTTTAGTAAAATTAAATCATCATTCATAGTAAAATAGATTTACTACAAACCACAAATAGAAGGAACCTCTTTAATCTGATTAAAAATTACAGCAAACAAATTACTTGGTGAAGACATACTGAAACGGCTTTGTAATTTACTATCAGAAATATGACAGAATGCGTGCTCTTTTCTATTCAGTATTACTTAGAGCCCATACCCAAAGACAGCACATACAAAATTTAGATATAAACAAAGTTGATTATCCACAGTGACACAGTTGTCTGCATAGAAAACCTGTAGTCATAGAAAAATCAGAAGAGTTAGCAATATTTGTTGGCAAGGTTGCTGTATAGAAAACTACACATTTTATTAATCGCTGGCAGAAACTACAATTAAAATTGATAGAAAAGAGAGTAACCATTAAAAATCTACATGCCTAGAAATAAGTCTTTGCCCCCACCAAAAGAAAAATCCCAGAAAAAAGTATAATGAAACTTATTGGAAAGGCAAATTCATTATCCTAAAAATATTCCTGTCAAATGATCTGTAAATTCATTGTAATTTTACTTAAAATCACAATAGCATTTTCCATGGAAGGCAGAAAATTTATAATAAAATTTATATGAAGTACAAAGGACTTTGAAGAGACAAAACACTCCTCACCAACCAGATCAGAGGGGAAAAAAGTTATGTTTGCTCTACCAAATATCAAATATTTCAGAATTTTCCTGGAGATAATTTGACCTGTAAAATAGAGAAAAAGCCCCAAAGGAAGCCTCATACATAAGGAAGTCTAGGACATATCACGGAGCTAGCTAGCACAGCAGATCTGTGAAGGAAAGAATACATGATTTGGTAAAGGATGCTTAGTTAATCATTTAATATGGATTGGAGGAATAAATAGAGTCCTGTTTGATATCCAGTGGCCCTCCATATCTTAGACTCTGTGTCTGGATTCAGGCTACTACAGATTGAAAGTTATTGGGGTGGAAGATGGACATATACAGGTCTTTGTTTTGTCATGATTTCGAAATACATTAAAACAACTCTTTGCATTACATTTGCTTTAAGTATTGTAAGTAATCTAGAGGTTACATAAAGTATACAAGAGGATTGTGTCGATCATATATTACACATTCTGTACTGTCTTATATGAGGGGTTTGAGACTACAGATTTGGGCACCCAAGGAGACTCCAGGAACCAGCACCCTGCAGATGCCAAGGGACAACTTTGCTGATGAGTCAAGTACTTAAATGTAAAAACAGCAACACCTGCACACTTTCAGAAGAAACATAAACTATCTTTATAGTTTTGAGATAGGAAGAGATTTCTTACAACAGAAACATCATGGATAGTTTTTTCATCCAATTCTAATTAACTTACTTGCACTTGATATATTAACTCGTGCTAAAGCCATCAATAGTAAATGTGGCTGAGAATCTCCCAGGTTTGTTATCCTGAAATAGATTTGGGCTCCAGATGACTGCTTAGCTTTACTCACCCCCTGACTGCTTTAGATATGAATTATTAGATAGCCAAGGGGAGAGGATCATAGTAACTTTTGCCTTTTGTCAATGAAGAATTCATAGGAGAAATAAACTGACAAGTCAAAGTCAAGTGAAAGGTTGAAAATAGAAGTTAAGGCAAGAGTATATTGAGAGGTAAGAGTATATTGAGAAAAGAGTATATCCAGAGGTAAGAGTATATTGAGGAAATGTTGTTAGTGGTAAATACAAATTTTGCAGCATTGAATATATTTAATCTCTGGAACAAACCCACTTCACTCTTGAACTCTCACCCCCTACCCATGTGCAACGATGATCTGGATTCATACTTTTTAGATCAGGAAGTTTAGCCAGTAACAAATCATCTCACCCAGAGCTGCTCTGCTGCCCTGGGCCTTCTCCATCAAGGTCATTAATTGGGCACCTCCTTCTTATGTAGTGATCAGGGCACTTAAAGTACATCTCCAATTTCCAGAAGAGTCAGGAGGAAGATAGCAACAGTCTTGGTCTGAATCAGCCAGATTGGCAAAATGGGTGTCAGAATCAGAGAACTAGAAATCAGCCAGCCACTCGGATTACAGAACATCATCTCTCCTACAGAAGCACATTTGGAGACCTCTACAAATGAGGCAGTTGACAGTGGGGCTGGTTATCCAAGCAAAGGCTCACACTTAAAAACCTTAACCTAGGGCCAGCAAGCAGGCAGGCCACTGGATCGCTGAGTACACTGGGAAGACAAAGCAGGGAGAGTGGACTCTTCGTGTTCACAGATTTGAGTTGCTGAAGTTACCACTATGAATTACACTGGGGGAACTACATCGTCTTTCCACTGAATGTTTATCTTCTGGTTCTGTGTTGGAGTTTAGAAAGCAAATGGAGTTGCTCTTTTTTTTTTTTTTTTGTCTTTTTCCTTTTTATTGGTACTGGGGATCGAACTCACAACTGCCTGCTTCCAAGGCAGCGCTTATGCCGCTGAGCTAAACCTCCAAGCCCCCTAGAGTTGCTCTTTTGAAAACAGCAGTGGAGGCTCAGAGTCCCAAGGGCCCTTCTTCTTCTCCTGTCCTCAGTGCCAAAGATACCTCTTTGGGGCCCTGGGACCCACAGCTGGAAAACCACAGTCTCTTTCTAGTGCTGGCATTCTGTAAACAAGTGATGGTAGGACCCGCTGTCACCCCAAGGGCTTGTTCTAATCTGTTCTAGACAGATGCTTTTCATGGGCAAATGAGAACAGTTTTCTGGGGCAGCTGTGATCTGAAAAGCTCTGCTGGAATGAATGTCATCGCCAATAGCTAATGAATGGATACTTACCTGGATCATGAAGAAAAATACTGTTTTTTTCTGTATATAATACCACATGTAAACCATTTTATTATGGGAATATGCCTTTCAAATATGCCTATAAATAGACTAATACAATGAGCCCTTTTATACTTACTCTTCAGCTTCAGTACTTGGCATGTGCCCACGTTGGTTTCATCTACAAACCCTTTCACCTCTCATCTTCTATAATTCTAAAGCAAATCTAAGATACATTGATTCAACTTTATATTTCAAGATACTGCTCTTTAACTAACAAGAACTGTATGTATTTATGGCATGCAACATGATGTCTTGAACTATATATACACTGTAGAATGGGCGAGCCGAGCTAACATATGCATTGCCTCATGGAATTATTTTTTGTGGTGAGGGTGCTGATGCTCTGCATTCTTAATGATTTTCACCGTATACAATACACTATTAACTGCAGTCATCAAGTACACAATAGATCTCTTCAGCTTAGTCTTCCTAAAAATACGACATGCTTCATGAATTTGCATGTCGTCCATCTGTGGATGAGGACCATGCTAATCTTCTTTGTTTTGTTTCAGTTTTTAGCCTGTGTGATACCAAAGTGAGACTCCGCATCTTTAACTCTGTGTTGTCTCTAAAACGTTCAGACTCTTTCTCCTCAGCCACCGTACCAGTGCCGTATATAAAGAATAGTTTGTCATCAAATTTTAATTAGTATTCAGAATCTCTAGCTTGTCTCATAAATGGCATTTAGTGATTGGATTCAAGTTGTCATTTAATGATGAGGATTTCAGGTGCTCTGTAATAATTACTAGGAAAGCTTATTCTGTGTGATATCAAGTAAAAATATTTTTTCAGGTTTGTCTAAAGGAAGGATAATTCTTGGAATTTCCTGTTCTTACCAGATAGTGTGACATAAAACACCAAAAACCTTTAATAAATACTACCATTAAATTTTTAAAATTTTGGTTTTATTTCTTGATTTTTGCACATATCTGTATAAACTCCTTTTATTATTGCAAACCAGAATAATGTATTTATTAATAACTACAGTATGGGTTTGAACCTCATATTGTATAATTTTGCTAACTTTAGACAAGTTATACTTTCTTTGAAACTCAACTTCTTTTTCTGTAACATAGATGTAATAAAAGGGCCTGCTTTGTTGATTCATTATGATATAATTAAATGAGATGACCTGTGTCAGGCATGTCCAACCTGTGGTCCACCTTTTATTATTCTCTTCTTTATGCTACAAGTAAATTATCCATAACAGAAAATTGTATTACTTAAATATATTTAATATAAGTTCTATATGTGGTGCAAGACAGTTCCTCATCACTGAAAAAAATAAGGGAAAAAATGGTAGGCCAAAGTTGGACATAATTAATCTACACAAAGCATTCCTTGATTTTAGTTCATTGTCAGATGCTGTCATAGAAATGGAAACTGATGAACCCTCTAGAGATAAATGATCCAGCCTTCTTTTTTAAAATAAAACTTAGAGTTCTTTGAATAGATTTTGGAAATTTATATTATCCTTTGAAAGTTGATCTGGAGAAGGAGGTAGCCAAAATGAAAGTATTGATCTTCAAAGACCATTGTCTTCTTTTAGTAAACAATACATAAGATAAACTGTCTCTATAGTTAAAACCAGGATTTTCCTGGATTTTCATTGTGTTTTGTAAGGCTGTTTGTAGTGTGATAAACCTGTGGTTTTCTGTGGATTATGTGTAGGTGTGGCTGTGCTCCACACAGCTGGCTGTGAAGTTACATTGTCAGAAGTGTAAACAAGAGGTGACTAGAGGCTTAAAGGCTGTTTCTCATTCCTGGATCCCTTGACATTACTTCCCCATGCAGAGGTCTCATTACTTTCTCCTTTTGATCCCTGACTTTTCAATCTCTTAGGTAAATATCCAATTTCTATTTCAAATTTGCTTTAGAGACACTTAGAATCCTCAGAATGTTAAATGAAGGAAGGGCTTAAATATTTACCAAAGTGTACATTCTTCCTTAGTGCCTTGCTCCATTAGTCTGAAATACTTCCTCCCTCACTCCCCACTCGTAGACAAGCCTCAGATTGTGAGTGTGAGGAAATTTTCAGTCTGACAGTCTTGGTGGTCTGTCACCTTAGCGTGTTTACTCTGTCTGCATTTTATAATAAGCCATAGATGGAGCATCTTGACTTTTGGTAACATATATGTTTTGGTCTCTGCAAATACATCAAAGTGTCTTTCCCTTTTGGAGCTGTGCCAATCTGAATTTTGCCTCTAGGAGAAAACTGTCTCCGGGGACACAGTTCTTCAGTATTGTTTTCTTCACTTGTTACCTCAAGAGGAATTTTCTTCTCTTTAAGAAAACACCATGTATAATAATAAGGATTTGTAAGGTAAATAAATTAGAGAAGTGATGGTTTTAAAAAAAAACCACAGAGGCCCTTAAAGATTTGTTATTTTGTTGGCCTTGTACCTTTAACATCTTAAAAATTCAATCGATGTATCTTAAAAATTCAGTCCTTTTCCACACACACTGATGGTATAAACTGTGATGCATACTCAGAGTCTGGGATATAACTTGCTTGTGTCGTGTTGATGTAGCGCACTGTGAGGGGCTAAGGTTTGCAACCTGGCATGGACTCTTTGCTTTACCACTGTAGTTATTGACAAGGTGGCTCCCTGGTGAGGTGGCAGTGTCACCTTGTTGGCTGGTTTTCAGCCAGGAAGCCATGCTGCTATGGCAGATGAAAGTAGAACACACAAATGTCTATAGAGCCAGGGCACATACTGTCCACAACAGGTGGGTTCGCTGATCTGAGCAGATGATGTCATTTGTAGGAGAACAGATACAGTCAGCTTTTAGTAGGAGGTAAGAGATGCCCGTAATGTCCTCCCAGTGTAGAAGCACAGTTGTAGGCGAACACAGCGGACAGCTCCCTCCTACTGCTCCCAGCACCCAGCTCAGCCTTCTGTGGATGGTAGCACAGAATCCTCTGTGGATTCCTTGAAATACCATTTTACTTTGCTGTTTTAAGGCTTTTATAGCCCTAGGTACAAGGCCAGAACTTCTAGGAGGTGAATGTGTGCTGTGATCACGAGATGCAGAGAGGCCCTGGCTCACGGCCGTCCCTCTTCCTAGTTGAGCCTTGGCTGTGTGGCTGAGGACAGCTGGCCACTTGCTGTTTCTCCAGACCTCAGGGCTGCTGCTCCGGGCTGAGCAGGACGCCCACATGACACAGGCCACAACAGGATGGCTGGAGCCCAGGCCTGTCTGGTTTCAGACACTGTTGTTTCTAGTCTTTCTTTAATTTTCAAAATTGTAGTTACCACAAAAAAGTAAACAATTTGAGAAGGAAGAGCAGGGAAAAGGAAAAAAAAAGAATCAAGATATATCATGTATAGATACAAATCCCCTATGATAAATGGGATCATTATGTATACCTAAAATGTACCAATAAGCCTAATTAATAAAAAAAATCAAAGCACCTTCTGTCTAAAGGGTAATAGTATAAATGTATCCCATTTTAAATAATATTTGTATGGTGAGTAAATGATATTTTAAAAATTTTTAATAAGTTGATTTATGAGCCAATTTATAGAATATTAAAATATTGTTTAATACCAACTTTAACTGCAAGAGAAAAAGCTTCCCTCACTCCTGTTTCTGCTTCAGCCTCTGCATCTTCTCCTTGCCTTTTGGTAAAGTGTTCAGTCTCAAGGCTGCTGCTGTCTTGGATGAGGACAGGCGTTCAGAGCAGGACACCAGCTGCTTTGCACTTTCTCCTGTTGGCACATCCACATCATGGATTTTATATCCCTTACCCGAGTGCCAAAACCATGCCAGTGTGAGGAAGATTTCGTGAGTCAGTCTCTTTCTCATCTTTTAAATATGGCTCCACAAATGCTTTCTGCTTTCTCTTGTTTATCATCATGTGTGTTTGATTCCCTTACAGCCGTGGATAACCCCTCCAGTTACCACCTGGGGGAACTGTCCTCAGGCAGGATTCATGCTCTTCACATGTTGTCTGATCACACGTATCTTCCAAGCTTTCATTCATCCTTCTTTCTCTAGTTTGGACTTTTTTCTCCATTTTGCTTTTGCTTCATCACTTCTAAAAGCAAACTTTGCCTACTCAAATTACTGTCCATACAGTTCATGTCTACTATTTCTTCTGATCTCAGAGGACTGTAATCCTTTGTGTCTCTTGCAGTGCTGCATCCATTTTATACTGAGTAAGATCTGACCCGGAAGCTGCGCTCTGCTGGATGTTTTCAGAAGATGCATCTTAGTTGTTGTTAGACTTTGTTTCAGCAATTCTATAAGGATTTAACTGAAGAACTGATGCAAATTCACATCCTCCATAGACTGACCTGGTGTTACTTTTATAGATGCATGAGAACTAGCACCCCTCATGTCATTAAAGATTCTGTCTTTTCAAACTTTCATACGGACATAGAAGGATTTTGAAGATCCTTCTTTTATATGCTTCTTTTTATAGGTAGTGGTGTTTTATTGTCTAGAGGGTATTTAAGTAAAGATAGGAGGATTCATTCCTTAAAAAAAAAAAATCTTCCTTGGGGAACCTTTGGGTACCATGCAGCTTCCAACTCAGGAGATATTCATACCTGAGCAAAAGGTTCATATTCTGAAATTTAAAGTAACTTATCTTGGCCTTTAATTAATGTGTTTTTGTTTGTTTCTTTTGTGTAATAATTTACAGAATTAACATCAGAGTCCCAAAATAGCTACCCATCTGTTGTTGGCTCCATGTTGGGTACTAGTAGAATTAAAGTGAAAATAGAACTTGTCCTCTAGGCCTTTAATACATGTCCAGTTGCATTAACTTGAGCAAACCAGAAGAACACTTGAATATAATGAAAGTTGTGTTATGTTGAAAGTAGATCTAAGATAAAAATATATTCTTCATAAACAGTCCTTAAGGAAACCAATGACTTCCTCTAATCTCCATTATGTACTACTTCAAAGGGCACAGTAATAAAGATACAGTGTTTTCATAGAGTGTTTTCCTTAATAACAAAGCATTCCCTTAATACCAAAAAAAAAAAAAAAATCAAGCTTTTTGACTGTTTTCCCTTCAGGGCATGATTGACACAGTGTGTGTTAGTGGAAATAGTGAGAAAGTCTCAGGAGGCCAGGTACACTGCTTGGATCTCATTGTGTGCTATCCGGACAGTGTATAATCTTTCCCCATTGGAAGAAACTTCTTCGGGAAAGAGAAAGAATGTATCCCTTGCAGTACAGGTATGTCACTATGCTCTGGAGCAATCAGTTGGTAAATGGATGATAAATCAGAGAGTACTCAAGGGTATTGAGTATCACAGAGCAGAGAGGAATCAGAAATGGAACTGTCCCTAGAAATCCTACCTTTGACGGCAGGCAGTCAAAAGGATTTCTTATTATGTAAAAAGGAAGTTAATTTAGGTCATGGAAACAGCTAAAAAGCAAATCACAAATTGCTCATTCCGGAAAAGGTAGGTGTGGTTGAAAGGGAAGTTAGTGTGATAGGTTCAGAACCACTAAGAGGGGCAGTCCTGCTGCAGAGGAGTAAATCTGTTCTTTAGTCCTTCTCTGCTTCCCTTTGTT